CATGGATCAAATCACAAACGTTTGCAGTTCCCATGGTTAAAAATTTGCGAAGAATTTCATCACTGCGGAGTCCAAAAAAAAAAAAAAAAAGTGCTTGAACAAGTAAATCTATCATCTTCTCAGCTCCTTAATTAGGATGCACATCTCTTAGGCAGCTAAAAATTAATTACCATCTTAAAATGCCATTAATCATGGGCTCGGCAGAAACGGAAAGAAAGACGGTGAATCTTTGGCGGAGCTAATAACAGGCAAAGGGGAATCTATCATTTGTTTGGAGTGGAAAACAAATGGATCCCGTAAGGTCCAGGGGGATGTTTTAAATATTATAGAAACGTCAACATTTATTTGAATACTTTAGCCAATAGAAAGAAGGCGGCCTGGTTTACTTCAGTAAAGCTGTGGCAGGTCTCTTGTCTACTTATAGGCAGAGTTGGAAGATACAGAAGATATCAATTGTATATTAAGAAAGAACATCTCAAAATACTTTGGCCACAGCAAGGTTTGAACTCTATTGACTGCAAGCAGATTTTTTTAAACATTTTTTTTTGCTAGGAGGAGCATATAGGAGACTAAATCTGTCAAAGGTAGTTTCTAAATATATTGATGAGAAAAAGAAAGCTGCATCAAACAAAGTAAAGATCAGGAAAGGCCTGAAAGATTGCCCACATCTTTTATGTAGTGTCTATGTTTCAAGCCCTTCTACTGGGATTGAACTCTTAAGCTTTGTAGGGTGCATCTAGCTTTACAACTTTAAAGCCATCCTAGTTTTATCAGATTATACCTGGGAGTAAATCCTAATGAATTAAACCTAATTAATTCTCAGCAGACATGCCATTCGTCTTAAGTCTTTCCCAGATGGAGTCAATTTAACCTGTAGATGAAACCAATTCCTAGGTAGTGATGAAGAAAGTGCTGATTGGAGATAGTGCCAAGAAATGATCTCTCAACATCAGGCAACTCTAAAACCTGACGTAACATTATTGTCCAGCACAGGCAGTTTTGGATTGGCTTCAGGCTTTTCACAGACCAGCCTTCTATTCTTGATGTATGCTTTTTCATTTCAATTTCACCTGCATTCTTGGCTTGGGCAGGAAAAACGTATGTTCTTTGCTAGGCTTTAAATATTGAAGAAAAAGAGTACATCAATGGCACCCAAGCATGGAACTGAGTATTTAAAGCTTCTCCTCTACTCACTGCAGTTCAGTGAAAGAGGCAGAAACAAAGAGAGGTTTCAAGAGGTATTTATCTGAAATATGTGTATATGTATATATGACAGACCTGCCATATCTGGAAAAATAAATTAAAAACCAGTTATTTCAGAAAATTATCATTAAAGCTGTGCATATCTCTTGAGGTATGTTCCTTTTTTTTAAAAAAAAAAATCACATATTTAAATATTTATTTTTTAAAAAAATTCTAAGACCAAAATGAGTTACGTATTTGAGGAAAGGGCTTTGTTTATAAAAGGAAACTTACAACCATTGCAACCTAAGTATGCTAATTTTGTCCTGTAATTGAAGCAACTCTAAAGGGTATCTTGTGCAATCTTGAATTTAAAAGAGAATGAGAATTTGGGGGTAGGGGATTGTTTCACATTATGTTTGAATAACGAATGTGAACTAGGTAATCAGAGTCAGTAGTTCAACTATTTTGCTTCTTTTTTGTATAAAAAAACTTGACAGGGCGATTTTATTTTTATATTTTACAACATGTTTTGCACATATATAGCATTCAGCATTTTAGCAAGTCCAAATGTGTGTCGCTATCCATGGTACTGAAAAAAGGAAACTCTATTTAGTTCAGGGGTAGGCAACCTTGGCTCTTTTATGACTCCTGGACTTCAGCTCCCAGAATTCCTGAGCCAGCTGTGCCTACCCCCTGATTTAGTTACTAAAATTCCAGTTTGGTATAATAGTAAGGCATCAGGCTAAAAACCAAGAGACTGTGAGTTCTAGTCCCACCTTAGGCACAAAGCCAGATGGGTGACCTTGTGCCAGTCACTTTCTCTCAGCCCTGGGAAGGAGACAAGGGCAAACTATTTCTGAAAATCCTTGCCAAGAAAAGTGTAGGGATTTGTCCAAGCAGTCTCCAAAAATAGGACAGGATTGAAGAAGAAGAAGAAGAAGAAGAAGAAGAAGAAGAGGAAGAAGAAGAGGAAGAAAAAGAAGAAAATTCCAGCAGAGTAGTTTTGGTGATGATCTTTCTGGTTCACAATCATCCAACAAAAGTTGAGAGTAAAGAATATTGCAAAGTAAAAGCAGACACAATATCTCCTGCCAGGATTCAATTCCCCAGATAAAAGGATCTGGTGAGTCTTATAAAATATCAAACTGACTAGATAGAAAAACAAAGAAAATACAGAGATCCTCATGAAATTAATAACAGGATTCAAATCTACCAGGGACTGCTAATAAAAGTTAAGTTACAACATTTTTGAAAAGGGAATTCTTACAAATAAAAGAAATATATTTTCAAAACTATATTGTCTCATCTAGAGATATCGAACTAGCATTATGTCTATTCACCAAAACATTTCAATATCAGCTTGGTTTTACCTTGTATTACCCATTTGTTTTTGATCCAAATTGAAGTATTATGAAATGAATAGTATATCCAACAGAGACAATCTCACACTGCAGTTTCATGGTAAAATATTCCAGTAGTACACTGAAGGGGTCACTAGATCCCCTTTTTTCATTGTTAATAAGCCCCCCCCCCCAATTCAATGAATAGTCTGTTAGTCTGCAGAAGTAGCCATTGCTGATACTTAATTTTGACATCACTGCAAGAGTTCCAAATTTTAACATTTAAAAAAAAATCCCAAGGTTATTTATTTATCCCTTATTAATATGTAAATTTCAGTTCAACTACAGATATGATAATACCTTAATAGTAGAAAGCTGTTCTGATTTGTTTTCCCATAACACAAGCTTTAACAGTTATAAATCTTAGTTATTTCACGAGGAGGAATAGCCTAACCCATCTTGACATCAAATATCCTTAGCAGCATTCCTGCGGGACTATGAGAACTGTAGTTCTTTACATATGGAAGGTATCACATCAAGCAACTGCTTCATAGGAAGTTCGGTCTGAAATAGATGCATGAAAGGTGCAGCCTATCATATTAACATCCAATTGTTATTCTCCTAGATGAATCAAATGAATCCCAGGTGATTTAGATAAAGCAAGAAACAAGACAGAATAAGAAGAATCAGATTCTAGACTTCTTGGTGCAACTGGGCCTATCCTTTCTTCATTCCACAGTCTTAAGGAGAGATAGATAATCACACGGGTCGATATGGATCTATGTCACCTTAATTTACAGAATGTCTTTTGGAACTTCTTCTGCATGAAAATGGTGAGGGGGGCATTCCCAGACAGAAGAAATCTCCATTCACTTTCATAGGACAGTAATAGAAGTTACCCTTTTCTCTCCCTGTTGATCCATAATAAGTGCTTAGCAATTTGAATGACAATGGCTTTCTTTCAAGTAATACAAAAAGATTTGTGTTCTCCACAAAATGTGTTTTAATGAATCCTCCTATTGCCCACTCATTTTTTTAAAAAAAACATCTCAATTGTATTCCCTATTGAAATAAGATCCTAATAGATATATGTTTAATCTGATATGTATATCTCTTTGTGACAGAGTGGGAGAGAGCAATGAAAATAGAGAAAAATTCTCAAATTACTCCATTCAGATCTAGACAAGATGAATTCTAGTTAAGTTTAAAGATATCTAAGACTTCCAGATATCTATATTTCTATATTAGTAAGGACTTCACTAAGAACTGCAAATAATGGAACTTGGAGAATGCTTCTTAGATCGTTACAGTTTATATGGTGTTTCTAGTCTTACAAAACGTAACGGTTGATACAAGGTATACAGTATAAAGGAATTTAAAAACAGAACTTTTGTAATAGGAATATAAATGAGACGAAAGCTCAGAAATGTGGGAAAAAATGTTTCCTTCACTCACTGTTATTTCTGACAACAGCAGGCAATTCTATACAATATAGTAAGCTTCCTGGGTTCAGTATAACTTCCTTCCAGGTAGTCTAACCTCGGATTACAACTTTGGTTGTAGATAAGCATTTAATTCTGGTTGCCATTCTTCCTAAAAGGTTTATGTAAAATTAGTTGTGTGGATTAAAAGAATGAATAATACTTTGTGGCAAGCAAATGCCTATTGGTTCTTTGTATACATTCAGAACCAACAGAAACGTCATTTTCCCCAACTCTTAAAAAAGGATGTTCTGTCACCCTTCAGTCCAGGAGTGACTTAATTTTGACAGAGCCGTCTTCTTTGCTCTTTATGCTAAAGCCTGGAAACGGCTTCTTATTGAAATCGATCCGCTCTCAGTTTCAAGACTTTGGGCTGAAACCGACGCCAGTCCCACCCGAAATCAAATTGGAGCAATGTCGAGGAGGGCCCAGAATGGGACTTGGGCTCCAAGCAGGTAAAAGACGGGATGCAAACCCGTCCGTCCCTGTCCTTCCCTCGACCCACACTTCCGCAGACTCTTTCAGTCTCGGTTTCGGCTGCCTTAGACCAGGCAAGCAGAACCGATTCAGAGCTAACTAGGAATCTCTCCGCTCATCCCCCAGAAAACAACAGGTTACTGGAAGGAGACCACCCAAACGCGAGGCGCGTCACAACAAGCCACGTTCCTTTCGAAATGTACATGTTTACTCCAAAAGGTTGGCTCGGCCACGGCCTCGGTTGAATGAGAGAAGCCCCCCGGGGGGGGGGGGGGAAGGCCGCCTTAGCTGGCGGCCTCAAGACAAGAGGAGCTGTCTCCCGTTCCTCACACTTCATCTTGGCTGCGCGTCAGAAGCTGTGCGGCAGTTCAGTGGAAGGGAAACCCATCGGCCAAGCGAGCGCCCGCCTCTTGCTCGGTGGCGGTTTCGCCCGCTCGGATCGCCTATTGATCTCTCTCTTTCTCTCTCTTTCTCTCTTGACCCCCCCCCCCTTGCCCCTTCCTCCCCACCTCGCTTGTCTCCTAGGTTCGCCCGGCTGGCCAGCGCGCCAACATCTGGGTCTGGATTTCTCCCGGATTTCTCTCTCCCTCCTTCCGCTCCCGCTCGCCCGACTACCATGGATGTCCCACCATTCCTTGCAGGCGAAAGCTGCTGCTCCTTGGCGCAGTGAACGAAGATCATGCAGGCTTGGCTGGTGGCGCTGGGAAGCGGAGAGAGTCCCCTCGCCTCGGCGTGACCATGCCGTGATCGCGTCTCAGGGCCAGGCACTTCTTCTCACGGCTCCTTGGCGCTTTACCCGACCGCGGGGGAAACCTTGACGCTGAAGCAAAGGGGGCCGGAAGGGAAGCGGCGCGGGTGTGCGTAGGAAACACCATGAAGATTATTTCCCCGATTCTAACTCATCCAGTCTTCAGAGGCACCGCTCGGCTCCTGCTTTGCTTAATGTGGATTGGATATTCTCAAGGCACCACACATGTGTTGAGATTCGGTAAGGCGGCCGTTTATTCCTCCTCCTCCTCCTCCTCCTCCTCCTCCTCCTCCTCGCCCCCCACTCGGTTTTGCCTTATGCGTGTTCCCCAGGATTTTGTCAGGGAAGGAAAGGAAAGGGAGGTCGGAGGGAAGAGGAGATGAAGCTACTTCCGGGCTAATCGGTATTTAGCCTCTTCCCGGTTGCATTTTAAGGCGCCCCTCCGATCGTCTTGACTTCGAAGCAAAGCGGCTAAACAAGCGAAAGAAGCGGAGGGGAGCCGCTAGCGAGGAGCGCCCGCCCCGCCAAGCCGAGTCAAGCAGGGCGGGCTGGACTTCTCTTTAGAAAAGGAAAAAAAAGCTGGGCTTTGTGTGGTCTTTTCCGAGTTGCAGTTGGGTATGCGCGAGCGTCGGGGGTGTCTCGAAGTTGGCTGGTTCTCATTTGGCGGGATCAAAGTCCTTGTCTGTCTGAATGGAGTCAGACGCTCCAGCTTTAATTGTCCGCCCGGACAGAAAGGTCCCTCTCGCGCCGTTTCCTTGCTTTTACAAGCGCGGGTCAATTGTTGGCGAACAGGGCAGTTCTGGAAACTCCTTAACACTTGCACTTTCTTTCCCGCCCCATTCCGCCATCCATCAAATGATCTGTGAAGGATTCTTCGCCGATAGCGAGAGGATGAAGCACGCGTACCTTGACCCAGGCAAGGGCATTGCTTGGGAGGAAGTGTGCCTGGGACTACAACGGCAATCTAGACCCCCCCCCAGAAGCCAGTGGCAGAGAAGGACGGGGGCTTCTAAAGTGGGACTGTGGGCAAGTTCTTTAAGAGCAGAGTACCTGGGCTGGAGGTGCCAATACTGTGTCCTTAAGTAGTCACTCTCTAGTCTAGTAGGATCCTGAAGGTCAGAGTTTTTTTTTTGTTTGTTTGTTTCCGAAAGAGGCACTGGATGGCTGTGGTCAGCGGTAGTATTGGCTGTTGGATCTTTTTTTTTTTTTTAAGGGGACACCTCAGTCTCAACTTTTTCAAAAGAACTTACACCTCCTTTTCCATCCCACATTCCTGAGAAATCTATCGCTGCTTGATAGTTCAATAAACAGTGTGTGAATCCAGCTTGGGAGGGTAGAGTAAAATGCGAGCAAATTAGAAAATGCTGGGGAGGAAAGGTTCAAGGTCAGGCTTCTTGTCATCTCTGGCAGTAAATCTATCCGAGAAAAGTTCGTCTGGCAGAAAGAAAAAGTTAAGGTGGAGACACCGGCGCCTATTGAAGCAGCCCCACAGCTAAGCTCTTGTCAATTGGAATCCGTCTGGGTTGTTGTTACAGTATTAGAACAATGAGGGGTAAATAATGTTGGAATGAAGTTATGCCTAATTCAAGGCGTGTTTGTCTTCTGAGCTTTCTCCTGCCACTAAAACACTTCCTAGTGGGCATCAGCAGCTCTGCTTTGTGTGTGCGCGTTGGAGCAAGATAGATGGTTAAAAATCGAGGAAGGAACTCACAGCTGGGATCTGGGGAGAAGTGAGGATGCTCCAGTAGTCTTTATGTGGCGAGCTAGATTATTCCTAGTTACCTTTCCTGTCTCTTTCTCTTCCTGGCCTCCCTCAAAGCCCCTGCCCGCAATTCTTGTCACGTTGCTGTTAGCAACCATCTTCAGAAATGCCTCCTGCTTTCGAATGAGGCACCAGGTAGTTCTGAAACACCTGTGGGGCATGGCTTGCCAGGAACTGATCCGTAGCCTGTTGAAAGCACCGAGCAGAGGAATGTTGCTCTTGACAGGAACACTGTCACTAAGTGTGATTGAGCACTGACATCCGCTGGGCTTTTGGGTTGTCAGTATTATGCTTTCCCTACAACTTTCACCAGAGAGGTTCTGTGGGGTTAATTAAAGCAACTTCATCCCATTAGGCCTGTTTCAGGGAATAGTTTGTAGTGAAATGTTAATTGATCCGACCATGAAGGTTTCACTCCCTCCTTCTCCAAGCACTGGAATTTTTTTTTTTTCAGGAGTTCCTTCTCACTTCTCCAGACTTGTACAGTGGAAGATTGATCTGGGTGGGTTAAGTCTGTGTAACTCCAATGGGGGAGCTCATCTAAATCCCATTTTCTCAACTTCATCAGAATCAGGTACCATTCCAAGTCCCCAAACTATGTTCTGGGTAAAAGAGATATGAATAAACAGCAACTAGAGCTTTTTTTTTTTTTTTTCCTGCCACAGAAGATATCTGAGGCAGAAAAGGCAGGGAATCTGGAGATTTCAGAGGTTGCCTTTTCCCAGCATAGTTTTATTGATCAGAGGCAGCAAAAGTGGAGATACGGTGATGGTAGAGGAGAGAGGATCCTGTAATTGTCAGCTGTGCACATTGCCTGGTTTCACCAGAGAATGTAAAAGAATTTGTTGAAACATTGACACGTGTGTGTGTGTGTGTGTGTGTGTGTGTGTGTGTGTGTGTGTGCAGGCACTGTGTGCGCTCAGATTTCAATAAAAGCAATCCCGATGGTTGGAGTAGGAAACAACCATTGTAGGGAAATGAAAATGAATGAGATCCACCCAAATAATCAGAAGTTCCATTCAGCCAGAATATCTGGTTAAAGGAAGAAAGCATCCTTTGAGCAGATAAGAGAACATGCCTAGACATTGGCTCTTTGCTCGTTCTACTCCATTGAACTTGGAACATTGGGAGTAGGGGTTCTCCAGCCACCAGTCCCCTGCTTTTTACTCTTTCTCTTCTCCTCCCTGCCTCCTCCAACATTCGTTAGACTGTGATCTCATCTTTTCACCAGATGTTCAAGGGAATATATGTTGTACTCTTCCACCAATTTCCCTCAGAAGAAGCCTAAGAAATATCGACTGACCAAAAGTCATCCCAAGGGTCTCTGTGGCTGTGAGCAGACTTGAACCTATTCCTGGGACATCTTAATTGCTCTAGCTGTCCTGTGGCTTCAGCTGGTATTTTTGCTCCTTGATCTAAAGCAGTGGTTCTCAACCTGTGGTCCACAGACTCCTGGGGGAGGGGCACAATGCCATCACAAGGGGCCCACAAAGGCATGAAGAAATGTTATGATTTAAGTCTTGAATTAAGTCTTGGTGGTCTGGGGCCCTTGGTGGTCATCCTTGGCCACAAAAGGTATTTAAAGGGGTCCGTGGTGAAGAAAAGGTTGACAACTGCTGACCTAAAGCATAGTCAGCAAATAATTTTTCCATTTCTTTCTTTTCCTCTCCAAGTTTCTTCTGAGCTACTCTGGGAATCTTTAACTCCATTACACATAAATCAAGACAGAGGTTGACCGTGCTTCTCCCATTAACACTTGCACATAAGTGTTGTACAGCATTTGTACAGTCAACCTCTGTGGAAAGTGGGGCTAGAATAGAGCTACTATGTTTGTGGTTAAAAATTGGCATTATTTTTGTATTACTTGGCATTAGATGCATGTAACAGTAAGTTAGTGTTTCTGCAGCCTAGAAGCATAGCCCTATGTTAGAAAATAATAATTCATCCTGAGGGAGGAAGAGGGAGAGGGAGAGAAAGATGGAGGGAGGGAGGAAGAGAGAGAAAGAGAGACCAAGGCCAGTGGCCATCAAGGCCAGTGAAATAAAAACCAAATGCCAATTCAGATTGTTGGCCAAGAAAACAGATCCGCTTTTGGCTGCCTATTGTTTCTCTAGCTTATTCTTTGCCACCAACAAACACACAAATTTCTGAATCTTTCTTGGGGGGAAGCCTCCCCCCCAAAAAAAATTTAGAACACCTTCCTGGTGGTTACATTCAGATCTGAAAGGGTCATTAAAGTGAGAGAAAAGCCCAAGAAAAGATTTATTGCAATGGGGCAGTCCCAGGACCAGCAGAAGCAAAAGGATGCTGCGGGGAGCCTCAGATTGGTCTTCCAGATATTTATTTAAACAATCTGATAAAAGCTTTCAATCTTCAGATTCTTTTTTTAAGAGAAGGTGGCAGACAAACAAAAGCTAAATACTTGTGAGGGTGATGCGGTTCAGTGAATGGTCCTTAATTGTGAAGACAGATGTAACACTTCTTTCCACATAAATATTTTAATATAACTGCCTAGCACTGATTTATTTTAGAATTACCACCGAGTGTATGTACATTTTGGTATCATTTCAGAACTGGATAAAATACATGATCTTTTGAATTCCCCTCCCAAAAAACATATATCTAATACATTTATGTAGCTGCTCATCTCATTGGACTCTGGGAAGCTTTTATTTATGTATTTATTTTTTTCTTCTATGCAATTGTGTCTGCAACCCGGTCATCTTGTGGGATTCTCAGAGAGTGTTTGAACAAGTTCCAGCAGTTTTCTTGGCAAGGCTTTTCAGAAGCGGTTTGACGTTGCCTCCTTCTAGGGCTGAAAGAAAGTGGTTAGCCCAAAGTCACCCAGCTGGCTTTGTGCCAAGGCGGGAAGAATTCAGGGTCTCCCAGTTTCTAGTCTGATGCCATACCAGTGCTCTCCTGGCCAACTTACAGAGTTGAAAACAAAATAGCAATCCAAGGACCACCACCAAAATAAATAAATAATAAAATTAATAATAAAAACATAATCTATGGCAGATTATGCTGATACAGTGGAAGGCTTATTCCATTGTTTTGCATTGTCCCCTGTAAAATTGCACATCCTCCTCTAAGCATCGATAGGCACAATTCAGCTTCATGATGCTTTTATGATGTTCATGTTTTTAATATAGGGGCTTTTTGCTCTCCTTTTTTAAACTGGTAACATTTCTCTTTTGAAATCAATTTTATGCCAAACCTATATACCTAGTTACTTCCTCACTTAAATATCTGTAAACTTTTCCTGCTGGTATGAAAATGTATATATTTTAACAAGCTGTTCGTAATAGTGTCTCTGTGTACAATTGATCTATCAATCTTAAGAAAATAATTATTAAATTTAGGCATATCATCTTATTAAAGAAATCATAACCAATGTATAGGTACTATATTATATTATTTGTATTCAATTCATCTACTTGCATACATTTGCATATGAATAATAGCTGTGGCATAAAAG